TAAATCGTTTTTAATTAAAACGAGTATGTTTATAAAACTGTTCGCTTAGAAACTTGTAGGTGGAACTAGAGGCGACAGCATGGCGCCAGCACGTCGCCGCAGTGGCGGGCCGCCTGCGCGACCGATCGAATGATCGCGGGCGATGGGATTCTAGCGATCCCGGGATTTATTTGTACCGGGATTGAGATTTCTCAGACTGACTCGACTTAACTTTATTTTAAAAATCATTTCCCAGGGTATATTAAAACCGGGATTGAAATTTCTCAGATTATTCGTTTAGATTTTTTTTTAAATTTCGCGGGATGAGATTTGTCGTTTTTGTTTCGAATTTAATTTTTTTTTTCAATAATATATTATTGAATATTTTTTTATGTGACTTTTAGATATAAATAAAAAAAAAAAAACTGTACATTATATCAGAATTATTAAGGAAAGAAGATTAATTTTAAGTTGAAACGAAAATAGTATTTATTTTAATATATGATTTTGATATCATAACTAAACTATCATACCTAAAATATAGGAATATTTGTTTGTTTTTTCTTCATTTATACCTGCTGTAGGAAATAAATTTGATTAGCTAATACTGACACATAAGTGTCCACTTTGTATTTATTTTCTTTCTTAATTGTTTTTATAAAATATACCTTATTATGTAGATATACAGTTATATAATAAGATGACTAAACATAAATATTGTTTAATGAAATGTAAAGTCAATTCGTCATAGTCCAAGTAGGTACCTCCCTTAGGCACCTCCCTTAGGCACCTCCCTACTAACCTAACGTCATATTTTGAATTGCAAATGCCCAATGTTTACTAATAAAACACGATGCCAAAGAAAAGTAATAGATTACAAGCGAAGTGGCAAAGCAATAGTGTACGTACCACGCCGGCGCCATCGGTAATGTTTGTTCGGTGAAAGTCGCAACAAAATCACGACTTCTCATACATTAAGCTTAAGTGACCGTGCGAATGTGTAACCGCGGACACGACATTACCAGTCTGATTATTTTTTTCTGGCACATAACTGACCGCTCATCATTTTCTCATTTCGTTTTGTATCGTCACGTAAGCGAAATTCTTCGTAATTACTCGCCCCCGTAATCAAAGCACATCACTAGTGATTTAGGACGTCCATGACACTGGACACTGGCATGAATCAAATATATATTTGGTTATAATAAAAGAAAAAAAAAATATATATATTCAAATATTATTTTTTAAAATAAGTTCGATTCCATTATACCGTTCGTAAATTGAATTCAAAGGCGCTCTGTTTCTCTATGGACGTGTTCGGTTTCTGTGAAATTTGGCGCCAGATCTTTATCTGGAGATCCGTAGTGCTTTATCTGGTGCTGAGATCGACACTCATTCAACGATGGGAGCCCACGGAGCGGGCCCTTTGAGTTCAACTCTTTGTTTTAACACGTCGCTGTGAAGCGGCGCGCCGACGTAATGAGCAACCTCGAGCCTCGACTTCTCCCAAGAGAAACCCTTATTTTATTGTAACTGTGATATATTGCTCTCGTTCTCGATCGTATAGGCAAGTTATTAATCATTTTTTTATTGGATCTGTTTTTTTTTTATTGGAAGCGTTCATTAATTTAAAATTTATACACATGATTTTCACAACTTTTTTTTAATTATAAAAATGTTTTGCTGTTCAAAGCAATTAAAACCTCAATCGAACGTAGGCGGAGTCGTCTAATCTGCACTCAACCGTTTTGTTCATATAAAAACACCTGTAGTGTGAGATGCCTGCTTCATAAACGCGCGGCTTGCTGAGATCGTTCGTGTTAGAACCGCGTTAATGTGCTATTAGGATATTTGTTTCGGAACTGTATACGAATAGAATAAAGTTCAGAATGGCATGACAATTTTGTTTATGACCGGAAAATGAATGGTGTTAAAAAGGAACGCCTTCGCGGCGCCGCGGCCACTCGATTATGAGCCATAAACTAATTCCGGTAGCTAACCCATTAAGAATATACTATTATCTATATTAGATGGTTGTGTTGGCAACACTTATGTTTCGAAAGTGTTTACTTATCAAAATATTTGTTTACGGATGTCGCGAGGCATAATTATATTGCCAGCGAGATAACTGAGGTTGTGCTAAATTATTTAACAATGTATTATCCGCAGGTGATTCACGTAAATACGAGCTAACCTATAAAATAAACTTTATGGAGTTAAAGTTAAATCTGCTTGTATAGTTTGGCTTATTTTTATGTTTAATAGTGATAGAACTTTAGTTAGGTTTAGTCATTGGGGATCACTACATTTAGATCAATTTAATCTCGCAAAGACACTATTGTGATTCCACAATTACAAAATGCGTCCTTCATCTCTTGCTCTTTAACATATCTTGGAATTGTCAATGTTCTTTCATTGGATTACACAGTGCTGATATCTCTAGTGACAGATAGTTCCATAATTAGCTCGAACTCGATATCCAATAAGCCTAACACTGCTTAATTCGATAGAGTAAACAATTTCTGATAACTGTTGCTTTATAAGTCATAAATTTGATCTCGCATGGTTTAAGTACCTAGATACTAGTTTAAAATTTTGACTCGGCCCAATAACATGCTATGACAATAGTCAAGCTAAAGATTCCAAGCTTCCAAGTGTTATTGAGGCTTTAAATTTAACGAGAGATTTTGCCTCTCTCTGCGTGTTCCACCGCCCCTATAATATACTGTGTTCTGAGGAACTTTTTCGCTTCATATCCAGGCCACTTTCTACCATCGTACTGTTTGCCATCGACAGTGATTTCAAACCCATATCTTAGAACCTAGATACGGTATTTGCTTATTTACCTGAGCTCTACCTGAGATCTTTGTTGTAATTTCAATGGCTTAAAAAGGTTATCTAATTTGAAAACCAAGTTCAAGTCTTGTTCGTTAGTTAATACTTCCTAATGTATCAACATCATTGAAAGCTGCATTAACACGTGATCGTTTAGGGTATTTAGGGCACCGTTACGTTATTAAGAAATAAAATATGATACTTATCATTCACAACAGTTTTATGACCAAATTCCGGTGGATGGCCATTTATTTCCGTTTTTAAAGAATCGTCAGTTAATACATTACTGATATCGTAAATGTGAAAGTGTGTAAAGTTACTCGGAGCTATGAATGTTTGTTACTCAATCACTCTTAAACGGCGGAACAGATTTGAATGAAGTTTGTTATACTTATAGGTCATATCCTACAGATTAATTCATAAAATATAAATTTAATCTATTTGCTAACGAAAATTGATGAAATTGAAAAACTTTTCACAAGGGAAATGGTTTGATGGAAAATCGAAATAAACAGCGTTTCCAGATTGGATTTTTTTTTTGGAAATTATGAATAACAGTTTTAGTATTTGTAAATTGTACACAGGTAAGGGAAGGGATAAGAGGGAAAAGTAGTAGCTGAGGCAAAATGTAGCGAAAAACGATACAAATCTGTGTGTTGGGTAAAAATCAAGTATGTGGACTGCTCAATATGTATATAAAATAATATGATTAAATAAATAATCGTCGCTCCTCACCATATGGGCAGAAACCTGTTTGGTGTCGTACATACCAACGGCTCGCGGGCACGGCATACACGATGTTATGTTTATATCGATGACATTATATCTTGAGAAATGAAAAAAAAATATTGCTAATCAAATATGACGCTACTGGTTTGCAATTATATGTGTTTTCTATACACTTTATTAAGAATATTATACGCGTAAGTGATTTAAAAAAAACACACACACAGAGACACAAATAAAGAGACGATCTCAGTAAAATAAAAAAAGAGATTTAATAATAATTTGCGATCTATATACACATTTGAAAGAGATAATCTAATTATGCAGAAAGTTGAATAATGTGTAGATTAATAATATATTTTATAGATGGAATTTGTAATAGAATTACTAATTTTATTTGAATATAAATAAATATTACTATTAACCTATCTATACCTTATTATATATATATCTAATAAATAAAAAATAAAAGCCAATCATGCTATAAACACAAAATTTATTTAGTAAGAAGTGAGAGATCAAATGACTTTTAATTGTCAATAAACGAGTTATGTTAAACATAATGAGTATTTATATCTTCGGATTTTATTTATTTAAGAATTTATTTAAAAATCGCCTCGTGTAGATCGCTCTGACGTCATATGCGCAGGCGCCGGCGCCACGACCCGTGTGACTTGATCTAAGCTTGTTCCGTCCATACAATTTGAAGAAATTATTAATTATAGAAAAAACCCAATGGTTTTTCACATAGTTATAATAATTTACAATAATTCGCGCTTACCGTATATAAGAGCGTTGACATTTATGCAGGCTTTTATATTACATTCGAAACATAAGGTCGCCCATTGTTTTCTTACTTTGATGATTTCTTGTTGTTTGTATTTACAATAAGTTTACTATTGTAATCTTTTGGAGGAAACAATAAAGCGTATATATAAATCTTTCTATTATATCGAGTAAATGTTTTTTTCTATTCGAAATTTAAATTACAAAATGATGAAATTCTATTTTATAATAATTCTAAAAATGAATATTTAAAAAGTTTCTATTAGCTACCTACTTACCTAGGTAAAAAGCTAACTAGATTCTAGAAGCCAACTTTACTGTGACGTTTATTAGACGAGCACTCGTTCTGTTAGTACGCAGCTCATGTTGTCTATAACGATGTCGGCGCCGTTTGTACGTTTGTCCGTTGCCTTTTTGTTGTGCACCAGCTTCCGTCGTGATCTTAATTGAACACACATTTTCTAAATGTGGCAGTTGATATAATAACATTAATATGATCACTGATACTGATTTGATCGTAGTTTTTCAAGTTTCAAATATCATACATTATCATTATACTTATTATATTATTCGAATAGTACCTATACCTACAGATACTGTTTTTTTTTTATTTTGTGTATTTATTTATTCTATATCTAGCTTGCAGACTAACATATATTTCTTTCTTGTTTCAGATCGAATTTTAGAACGTGATGCTGGATTCGTATCGGGCGGAGAAGACGATGACTCGTGTTCAGGTCCAGCGCATTCCGACGACTCGGGAGTAAGACTAGTCGAGAATGACTCTAGACTCAAGAGAGAAAGAACTCCCACCCGCAACCAGCCCCCAAAGAAACGGATTCGTTTGAATTCTCGAGAAGATCTGCAAAGCCCCGAAAGCGAATCACCAGCCAGTCCTTTCAGACCGTGGTCTTTTATCGAGGAACCTCAAAGAGAACCTCTGTCCTTGGTGAAGAAGACAAGTGAGACCAGTTTGTTAAGGCAAAGGAGAAGGCCTGTAGAACCACCTCCGGTAATCCCACCGCCTCCTGTGCCAGAAACAAGGCCTGGACCACCAAGAGTGCCCCCTCATCCTGGAGTAGTAGAATCTTACCCCGAAAAACCTAAACCTAGAGAGCAAAGAAATTACAAGAACATGACAAGGGAAAGGCGGATAGAAGCTAATGCTAGGGAAAGGACCAGAGTTCACACAATAAGCGCAGCATTCGATACTCTAAGAAGATCTGTCCCCGCGTATAGCCACAACCAGAAGCTATCAAAACTATCTGTTTTACGGATAGCCTGCGCATACATCGCAGCTTTATCAGCAGCGATAGATCCAGAAGCGGATTTGTCAACAGCAGTGGAAACTGTCACGCAGACAATACACACAGAAGGAAAATTAAGAAAAAAGAAAGACGACCCTTGAATAGGGCTGACGTTAGACGGTTTAACGTTATATATTTGCTCCTTGCATTTGACTTCGTTTCGATCTGATGGCAGAAGAAGGGAAGTTCATTAGAATCATGCTGTTAGTCTCATCATGAAAGGCAATATCATTTAAAATTAAGGGCATAGATTTGATAGCAGATTACGTGGATTCTATTATGCCCATTTCGTACAATGTTGAATCCAATTACCATATGAAGAATTAGAGTTGTCTATGATCTTTCCAAAATCACCCCAGTGTTAATAAGAATGCAATAAAGTCTAGTGCGTCGCTAATATTACGATCAACGTAGACTGATGCACTATTTCATAGATTGTAGATTTTAACTTTACCTGTCATGGTAGACGCCACGTTGTTGGTACTAGATCATATACTTCTAGATGGAGTGCCAAATGTGAAAAGCTCAATAAACGGTCATTCAGTTATAGCAAATACCTAGTTTTTTAAATAAAAGAAATGTATTTCTGGTGCTGCAAGTAATAATTGTAACATTCTGGTATTCTTATAATCACACACTGACAAATGTATTAGTGTAGTAGTATATACCTACGTGTAGTGCATGATACAAATTCGCTCATATAAGAATACGAGTAATGAATTTGAGCTGTTTTTGGCGAATTGTATGTTGAGAAACTCTATCTAGATGTTATTAATCTAAGTGTTGATATTATACCGTCCCATGATGACGCCCTTGACTGTGGTAGTACAAAAGTGACAATAAATATTGGATAAATCTCGAAATTTTTAACTATTTATAAATGTTTATGGAATTGCTATAAAATTTTACCGCTTATTAGCTAACACAAAGCACAGACACAGTTTAAAAATATGTGCATGAAAACATAGCACTATTAAATTCATTGGGGTATCTAATGAAAATCAGTTCCTTTTTACTTTCTGACTGATAACAGTACAAAAGATGTTCCTTAATGTATTTAACAGATCTCGATCGGCGGTTATTAAAAGACGAATGTGAATATTTGATAATGTTAGAAGAAATATTTTGCATGTTTGACCAATAAACTTAACGTACTTAATAATTGTTCTTATGAATTTTCTGTATTATTAAATTTGTTTTGGATTCCAAGATTAAAACTACAAAAATTAATATCTCCCAATGATTTTTATGCAGATTTTGTGGGTTCCAAGACAGAAATATCTTTTTCTTTGTACGGGGTTTTCACTACGCGATGTCATGTTGCCGTTAATCTTTGTAAAATCGCTATGGGATTATTTTCAATCGACTTCAAAGAGTTCTCGATTCAGTTGTTCTTTTTTTATGTCTGTTACCTCATAACTGCGTTAGTTATAAACCGCTTTGGAAAATTCCTTTGTATTTGACAGCGTATAGGTACTTACAGATTGATTCCACAGAAATTTATAAAAATTGATTCACTAGTTTAATTTTGGAATCAAAATAGCTGGTTTTAACACAGTTGAAGTCGTTATTTTTGTGGAAAACAATTTTAAATTATTATCAATTTTAGGTAGGTAACTTGAAATATTACGTGCAAGACTATCTAGCTAGATGAAGATAATTTTTATCGATTACAAAAAGAGATCCTTCATTTGACTAAATCTTTGTTTGTTGAATACACGATTTTCTTTTTAAATCAAAAGTACCTGTAGTCCCATACAAATTTATGTCAATATTACTAGATTAATATTTCTTTTTATGAAACAAAATGTTTAAAATATTATTTCTGACGTAACTCGTTCGAATACCAGTGATATGAAATTTCAATATGTAAGCTTTAATTAAACCCTACAATTGATTCAAGCAGAGTAACATTATGCAAAATATAATAGCGTTTCAAAGATACAGAACTTCGTAATTCACACCCAATTTAAGGGTTAGCCGGAAATTGCTTGCATACAAAATAATTGTTGAAAAACAAAGAATTTATAAACGATTTGTATTTCGATATTTTTTCGTCGCGACAGATATTTTACATCACTATTATACATAGCAATATCTTAACTCAACAATGTTAACCATTCCTCAGTCCAGTATTAAATGAAAAAAAAAAAAAAGAAAATAACTGTTCGTAATGACAAATCTAAAGTGTATTTTTGGCTTTAATAATAATATTTATTAAAATCGAGTCAGTAATTTTAAGAGAGATGTATATAATTATGTGCGTAGATAAGTCGACGTAGTTTTGTATATATCTAATACCTATGTAGTTTGTAAGTACCATGTGTAAATAAGATTGTTGTACTATTTCTGATACGTTTAAAATGAAAATGTTCAATTGTTAAAATAAAATATTGAAAATTACACGTAAAGTAATTGGATTAAGCACTATTCACACAGTTCTTGGCTTGGTTTATGTCAGAACTCTTCAGAGACGAGAATTGTGTTGCTAATAATTTTTTTTATAAAGCTGTTCACATAGGTACTATTTAGGATGAAACTAAGTGCTCAGGTTTATACTGGTTGCCGTTACAGATGTGGTGAGTGCGAAAGCGAACCCATGTCTCCGACATATGGCATCTTGAGGGTATATCGTCTGGTTTTTGGTGGGTACACCCCCACCTTACGGGGGGATTCCCACAGTACCCATTCACCTTCTACAAGGTGAATGGGTCTGCATAAAGCATTTTCCAAACGATAAAAGAAAAAAAGGTTTATACTGGTTGGGTTCTAATCCTTATCACCTATGTGAACATCTGTCCTTATGAGTATTAAGTCAGGTCAGTAAGCCCGTCATGAAGAATTTACCAGGGATTAACCAAGATTGTTTCGACCTGGTATATATATATATATATATATATATATATACACTATATATAGAATGGTATATATAATATAAACTATTGCTGGCAATGGGTTTGCTAGTCCCCTCCAATTTATCCAATAATTTTGCCACCTCCTCTTCACTCCTTTTTTAATGAATATGAACACGCATAGGTCGTCTTCGACCCGACAATGACCTTGGGCACTTCGAGGTTAGATATCTTCTGACTCGGAACGGTGTGAATACGGTTTATTCAGTAACATTTTCATACATACTTAATTTAATGGATTCGGTTGTTTTACGAAGAAAAAAATCACACAGATTAATGTCAATATTTGCATGATTTCGACCGACTTCTAAAAGAAATAAATTCTCAAATCGGTTGTATTATTATTTATGTTTGTTACCTCATAACTCCGTCACTTATATACCAATTTCGAAAATTCTTTTTTTTTTTATTTAAAAGCATATGCTTACAGATCAGTCCTTTAAAAAATTTGCCACAGTTGGTTCATTGCTTTGCTTTTTAAATTAAAATAACAAGTTTTGCTACATTTGAAGTCGGTTTTTTTGGGAAACACAGTTTAATTTATCGACCGTTTATTTCACAATAGTGAAATTAATATTGTTAAGTGAGCCTTAAACATGCATTGTGATAACTCATGTAAATATTGTAGTGTAATTAGTATTATAAACACATTGATAAAGAGTGATTATGTATGATAAATCATTGTATGAAGGCACCTACCTATATAGACAATACGACTATTGTCAGACTGTTTTGCATTATTTCGTTCGTAAATTCATATACCCTGTCAAATATACTGTGAGCTTTGTTCATTAAAATATGTATCGAAATAATAATATTGAATAAATATATCCAGCAATTATATAATTAGATTAATCAAATGACTTTATGAAATATGAACGAACATTGAGTGAAATGTATAGAACATTTGCAAGTGAATACAGGTCAGTGAAAATTATAAAAGAGAAAATAAATGATGAATATTAAAGAATTATATTTTTTTGTTTTATTTTATTTTTATGTTAAGGCCTTAGATTATATAGATAGAGGATCGAGTCTCAAAAACAGGTCAACTTTTTGTCAGCTAATTGTCAAATTAGCTGGCTCGTTTTTTTATCAGTATTCTATATATTTACGCATAAAATGTATCTTGACGTATTATTTAATACATAAAATGAGTGTTTACTTATTAAAAAGATGCAGAAATTATAAGACAAATTAAATATAGAAGTTATAAAGGAATCACACATGACTATTTATCACGCAAAATTGTATGAAAAAGTTGACCCGTTTTTCTCGAAGCATTTCTACCATATAGAGACACTGTTTCTATATAATCGAAATTTAAGGTCTTTGCTTTTCGGGCCTCTAGATATCCCAACCTTTATGGTGTGTAGAAGCATGTATTAATTAGTAGGCATATTATTATAATAAAAATGGAAAAGAAATGAAAAGAAAAATTTGTGAAAAGTGTTCATTAAAAGATTAAATATATATAATTCAAATGATGAGGTTCAATAAAAAATTTGATATATATAACTTTATAACTTAAAATTTAAAGATAATCTTTAGTCACCAGCCTATTTCATTTTTATGCTATAAAATAAAAAAAAAAAACCATACATGCGGATAAAATACGAAACTTTTTATTATTAGTAGTGGCAATAACTTGGGAACACCAGGACACACCGTGGTAGCATAGGAGAATCATAGAGCAACTAATCATTATGTTTTAAACAAATGTTTTATCGATATTCGATATTTATTTTTTTGGAAAAAAATATTATCTCACAGGTAGAACATTCCTTTAAAAGTATATTAGTATTTTCAGTTTCACCTGTAAGTATACTATTTACTTGTAGTTTGTAAAAAAATCCATTTTAAAATCGTTTAAAATATTAAACTTAATTCATAAATGTTTAATTTAATTCTTTTTTATACAACTTAGAATGGCAAACAAGTTGACGACCCACCTGATGGAAAGTGGTAATCGTCGCCTATAGACATGAGCAGTACCATGGACATAATAGTGTATACTGTTTCGCCCGTGATAATCCCCATGCGTTGCCATTCCTGAGGACTCAGGTGTTTTTTTTGATGGGTGAAAATGGAATGGTAATCCCGCCTGTGCTAACGGGATACGCTGGCGGAGCACCAGTGAAGGGTGATTGATGAAAATGTAAACAGGCCCGTTAGCCCATTATGATGAGTTCCTTAGGAATTAACCATGATAGTTTCTAGGGGGAACCGCGAGGAGGTCGACCTATTTGAGTATATTGCTAGCAATGGGATTCTCAGTCTAAATTACTAACAATCCCTTTTCTTCCAGGACTCAGGTGGTATTCCTCTGTACCCTGTAAATTCACTGCCATATACTACCCTTCAAACCGAAACACAGTCATGCAAACAACTGCTGTAGGGTAGACACACGAATGGAACAGAGGTGCTCAAGCAAACGACTTTTGTACAAAGTCTGCCTCTGGTAAACTAAATGTTAAGATAAAATTACTTGTATGAGATATTTACATACAGATCAATTTGTCGGAACCCCGCTGTGCGATAACAGTAAACAGTACACACCCCAATAGGAAGTGTTCCGAATTCGCCAGCTGTATCTGCTGTATATGCTCTTATCATCAGCTGCTCGTTGCTGATAACACAACACGTGCCCCTGTGTCAACATCCCACGATTGTACCGTGTCCCCTATTGTACTACCACCCGGTAGGAGCCAAGGAAGTTCGCTGAGGTCCAACAAAGAATCCTTCAAAAACACCTTCAAGGCGCGAAGATAAACTAATTCTTATAAAACATATTCGTAGGTTTTAAATCAGTTTAACGGTTTTGCCATTTTTATTTTATTAGGGGAAACATACAATTATAAATAAATAAATAATTAATATAGTTATAATATATATCAGAGAAGTTACTACAAAAAACTGATACATTAAATAGATAGAAACATATGTGTATTTATAACTTTAAAAATACATTTTTTTTATACAACTTAGAATGGCAAACAAGCTGACGGCCCATCTGATGGAAAGTGGTAACCGTCGCCTATAGACATGAGCAGTACCATGGACATAACAGAGTGTACTGTTTCGCCCATTATACCCCCCATGCGTTGCCATTCCTGAGGACTCGGGTGTTATTCCTCTGTACCCTGTAAATTCACGCCATATCCCCACCCTTCAAACCGAAACACAGCCATGCAAACACAACTGCTTCACGGTAGAAACACGAATGGGACAGAGGTACCCAAGCAATCGACTTTTGTACAAATACATTTTTTTAAGGGGCAATCACATACTAGAACATTTCCTATCACCAAAAGCCAAATTGTGGTTGCGAATTTACCTAATAAGCAGTGTGCAGTGTTTAGAAGTGGATACGGCTGATACAATAACCAAGCGGCTAGATCAGCATAGTTACAGTAAGCTATATCTTCTATTAGAGATTCGTGCCCAGCTGTGGGTCGTTAATGGGCAGTTAAGGTAGTCCATGTCTTTTTGAATGAAGACGGAATGGTGTACTCGCCTTCCTATGCTAATGGTATACAATAACGGAGAGTTAATGGATGATGAAATGATGAGGACGAAGTCAGGTCAATTAGTTACCTTAGTCCTCAGGGGAAGCACCGTATGAGGGGTATCATGGGCGACACAGTGTACTCTGTTGTGTCTATGCGTATTAGCGACGGTTGCCATTTTCCATCAGGTGGGCCGTCAGCTTGTTTGCCATTTTAGGTTGAGTAAAAAAAAAATGTAAAAAATGTCGGCTCATCGTGGCAATAATTATTGTTTTCTATTTTTTCCTCTGAGTTGTTGGTATTTATAGAGTCTTGTTTTTTGTACTTCATGGTGGGTTGATTTCATTGTTTCGATGTATACGTAGTGTGTTTACCTATCTACATACTCATTATAAACTTTTACATTATCCACATAATATTATCTGGGTACAATGGGCCCTAATATAAAAAATGGCCGATCAGAGACATTTGTTCCAATAAATTATTTGCGGAACAGTTGCCCTAAGGGTGCCTTGTCAAACAATATTTAAGCTTATCGGTTCACCTACAGTAGAATCCCAGCAATTATAAAATCTAAAGTATGGAAATAAAACTTAAAAAATTTTACTTCTTAATATGTCAATATTTATATTATTCGTTATCACACTTATGTAGTTTTCATATTTCGGAGACGCGACGTAACTAGTAATACTGGTATGTGTTATGTTTATCAATATTGTGTGAAAATGATTATGAAATGTATGTATTTTTGATTGTTTGTAATAAGTTAAATATATTAAAAGATTTTTATTTAGCTGCAAATAAAAAAAACATTAAAATAAATTGATAACAATGCCATCTTGTATATAATAGGTAAATAACATATTTTGTTTAGTAGTTTACCTATTCAACGATAGGTGGTAACAAAACTGAACAGCGACATCTATGAACAAATAGCAAAATAAGCGAGCAAGCAATATATTTTTATCCTATGTTCGTTTTTAGCGGGAAATGGCTTTGTAAAGAAAAAAAAAAAATTAAAAAATGTAATGTTTTACTTTTTTTATTACAAATTACAAGTCCGAAACTAATTATTGGTAAGTAATTTATATGATATTAAAATATAATGGTTTTGAAAGAATTAAGCTGTCCATTTCAAACATCGTGTATCTAAATGAGTGCCAAGGCATCGGACGCTGCAGTATCTTGCTCCGCACGGTATGCAGGTATAATTTGAAGGAAACCCGCAAACTGCACAAAAATGTCGGTCTGGGAAACTGGAACAATATATTTTTTTCCAATTAAATACATAAGTTATATTTGGAGTTATATTTGTTTTATGGACTAAACAGCGACCATAAAAAAGTAGAAACATTTATTAGCAATAGAGTCATTTTCTCTCCCACAATTTTGTACAAATTTATGTCCAGCAGCGAATAATGCATAAGTATAATATTTTCAAAACTCCTAATATATAAAAAAAAACTGGTTTTTAAAAGTATGTAATGACAGGACAAATGATAAATAATTATAAATTTTGGGGAAGCAAGCAGTTTTAACTATAGACAGTATATTTAATCCTTAGTGATTACTTTAAATGTGAAAGTTATTCCTTGCCTCCTGGAGCTCAAACTATTTGTTTTTATTGTGTGAAAATGGAATGGTAACCCTGCAGATAGTTGAGGATGAAGGCAGGTCAGTCGGCCTATTGTGAAGAATTATACAAAGATTAACCACCATGATTTCCAAGAAGAATCACGTGGAGGTTGGCTTGATAGGATTACTAACAACCCCCCCTCCCCCTCCTTGAACCATTAAGTTCAACCAATCTTCATGAAATTTGGTATTCTGATATTATATGGGATGGAGGACATAGAGTAGATATTATTTGTCCCATTCAAGCGAAAGAAGTCGCGAGTAAAAGCTAGCTAGTAAGTTATAAATAAATTATAATTCAAGATAATAATTATTTAGTTGGTAATTACTTTGAGGGTGGCGCTTGTGCAGATAAATAGTTAGGTGGATCTGGTCTGAAAGCAGCATCTTCCTCCACGAGCTGAGCAAATGTCTTTCTAAACCTCATTTTATAGTACTCTGCGCTCTTTGATTTCTTTTTCCTTGTCGGCTTCTCATTGGAATCGGCAAACTTGGGTATCTTTTTTGACATAACCAGATCTGCATGAGGATCCTCATGAAAATTATCTTGTTCCAGAGCTTCAACGGCTTTCCTTGCTCGACGTTTTCTCGCTGCCTCATCCAGTATCCTCCTTTTTTCAGCTTCCTTTACTCTCCCAGACTCTCGTGCTGCCATTTTTACTTATTTTGATATTAATTAAAAATTAAAAAAGAAAAAAATCTTTAATAGTTTCAATAATTATAGACCCTTGTCATGAACAGGAATGCTCAATTGATCCATCAAGTCGTCGACGCGAGCTTGCAACGTTTCTACGATGTCAGCTGATATAAATAAGTGTGTTTCATCCAGGTCTTGCAGTATAAACTTCCTGCCGAGTGCAAGTGTTTCGTCTAAGTGGAGTAAGAATTGCTTCATTGCTGGGTCACTGAAATTGAAGAAGAAGAAATGTCAAAAAAACGTGGACTTAGTGCTGAAGAGAAGAAGATTAGGATGCTTGAGATATTCCATCAGAGCAAGGATTTTTTCCAATTGAAGGTACTTTTAAAATAATATTTTATACATAATTTACATTTGTTTTCCCAAACATTAAATTTAACAATAGGCCTGCCGTTTGTACCATACATTTCTGTAACTGTGGTTATTGACCACAAATATTAGCATTAATTTTAAATACGATGATCCATTTAAATTGTTTACACTACAACTGTTCATGTATAGTTGTAATATAACAATAAATTGCAAGATAAAATCAACATAGACCTTTTGCATCTGCATTTTCTTTTGTTATATATATATATATATATATATATATATATATATATATATATAATGCATGCAATGAAATTCATGCTGGGTCACTTAAGTTAATGGAAAATAGTTATGCAAAAAATGAATAAATAAGAATTGTACAAATTTGTATGCATTTTTAGGAGTTAGAGAAAATAGCACCAAAAGAGAAGGGCATTACAATGCAGTCTGTAAAAGAAGTATTACAAAGTTTGGTTGATGACCACCTTGTTGATTCAGAGAAGATAGGAACGTCAGTTTATTTCTGGTCTTTTCCAAGGTATTTAAGAAATATTATATATTTTTGTATGTTTAAAATAATATGTAATTAGAAAAATATGTACTCAGAAAAGTCCTTTGCATTATATAAGTATTATAGCAAGTGGACAGATTTCTAAGTAGTATACAAATTCAAAAGATTTAAGCGGATTTCTTTATAATAATCAGTTGGAGGTAAGTTTTAGCAATATATATTCCAAGCAGATAGTAAGGTTATAAAATTTTTAAATTATTATCATCCTTGTAATAGCAGACATACACAAGCTACTGTAAATGTGTACCAACAGACTATATACATATTAGCCATCTTTATGGTATATAAAAAAATTGTGATTTTATAATTAAGGCAAATTTATAATTTAATCTTATTCTTTTAGTAAAGCAAGGACTGCAAAGAAAAGAAAATTGAACGAGTTACAGTGTCAACTTGATGAAAGTGTAAAAAAGTTGAAGAAAACTGAAGAAGCCATTGTTATTGAATCAGTAAGTTTTCAGTTTTTACCATATTATAAAAGAATCAGAATAACCAAGGTAAAGGTTCATTAAGTTCAAGTTTATAGGCAACAATTACTACTTTCCAATAGGTAAGCTGTCAGCTTGATTGCCATTATAAGTTGCATAAGAAAAAAAAAGCTGAAGTGGCAATTCATATAGCCATAGGGCAACATTTATTCTTATAGGAAAATGCCAAATGCCACTTATTGATGATTTATGTACATTGCTAGTAATTAATAATTACTTATTTCACATTTCATTGCACCTGTTATAAAAATAAATAGTGTAAATGATTAATGTGGAGTGATACAAAAGGAAGCCTCATGGCTAAGCTATCTCTACCAGACAACCTTTCTGCATTAGTATTTAATTTGGTAATCATAACAAGTATAACAGTCCTATCCTGAGAAGATTTATGTCAAATAAAGCAGGCAGTCAGTTGTAAAAGCAAAAGACAAAACTTAAGTAATATGAATAGAACCCCTAAAGAATTGGAATAAGGGTGTGAAAATGATGATGTCGGCTTACATTAATGTTTATATAAATTTTACACAAGGTTGGACGTGAGTGTACTGAACAGAGAAAAGAAACACTCGAACTTTTGGAAAACATGAAGAAGGAAGAGGAGAAACTTAAGAAAGAACTTCAGAAGTATAGAGATTCAGATCCAGAGTACATAGCTCAGTTAAAGACTGATAATGAGGTAAATTATAGTTCCAAATGAACTTAGATGTAATCTAGCTGCTTTTAACACTGGTCATAATTTACTGTGATCACTTTTTACCTACTTTACATTGCAAAGTATTATTATTATTATTCTAATGGTGAAAAAATAATTTATTTATCTATATTAATTGTTAGTATAAGCCACTTAATACATATAAAAGATGTAAATTCAAAACAAGTATTTTTGTTCCTGTAAAATAGACAAAAATTTTAGTATAATCTATACTAATATTATAAAGAGGAAAACATTTGATTGTTTATTTGTAATGGATAAACTCAAAATTTACTTAAAAGATTATAAAAATTCTTTCACCTATAGAAAACTACATTATCAGCAAGTAACATATAGGCGATATTTAAAAAAAAATCTATCTATCCATGTGAAGACAGGTTGTATTATTGGTGCATTAATAATGATGGAATATTATGTTTCAGAATCTTAAAACAGCAATCAACAGATGGACAGAAAACATTTACATTCTAAAATCATACATAAAGAACACATTTCAAATGGAAAATGAAGTGATCGATCAAAGTTTTGGGATACCAGCAGATTTGGATTACATTAATTAAATAAAATAATAACACTGACTGCTTTATTTGGATGAATAAAGAATAGATTGTTAATAGTTTATTTAGAATAATCCTTAAAATACATAATGCATTTATATAATGTTTGGCCATGTAGGTCCCGGCATAGAACAGGCAACCCTTCCTTTTCTATGGGTGTCATAATAAGCAACTACGGCAACTTAATGGTAGAGGAATGGGAAACAGCATCTCTCTAAAAACCTAATTGCAGTTGCCAACCTGGATGTCAACTACTGGCAAAACTCCCTTTGTAGCGAAAGCTTATGTTCAGCAGTGGACAGTTAAGGGCTGAAATGATGATGATGATGATATATATATAATTAAGAAACTCTGCACTTTTATGTGTGATGGTGGAGAAGAATGGATGGAGTCATAGAGAATAATGCACAGTACTCTGATGCAAGAATATAGGATTTTATTCTAAATATAGGGAATAATAATTATCCGTCTAGTCAGCGTTGTAATAGTATATCTTCCTTTTAAATAATTATGCTGAATAGTTGGGAATTATTGGGCTATTAAAGTAATGTTTTAAAGCGGCAAAAAGAATTGTAATAAATAAAAAAATACATTACGCACCATTCGACCAGGACACCTTTCATAACATTCACCATGTTTCATTATTACTCTTAATTTTCGGTGTAATGTATATACCTATGTAATTAGAATATTTTTAATATAAATATCGTTTTAAAATGAAACTAAATGATTCTTTTCTAAATTCGTTGCAAATAGGAAAGAATAATGAAACAAATAAATAATCTACAAAGTGAACACTCGTAAACAACGAGTAACTATATTTGATTTGGTTGACAGTAGAGTGAGCGACAGTAGGAACAGTTTCGTTCATGCAGCATAATGACATACACGTCAAACATTTTTGATGTTTTAAAGGTCGCTATAGATGATCATGTGTTAAATGAAATAAGGATATGAATACATAAATAACAACGTAAGATTAATAAAAGACAACATACATTTTATTTCTTATTTACTAATGCAGCCAGTTTGTTGTATCTACTAACTAAATATTTTTTTTTACAACACAGGGACAAACGAGCATGCGGTTCACCTGATGCTTAGAGACTACCGCCGTCCATGATCATTTACAACACCATCTACCCTATATAGTTCATTCGTTTTTTTTTTTTATTTTATATAAATTAAAATGACAAACAAGCTGATAGCCCACCTGATAGAAAGTGGTAACCTATAGACATGAGCAGTACAATACTGTATCGCTCATAATAACTCCCATGAGTTGCCATTTCTGAGGACTCAGGTGTTATTTTTCTGTACCTTGTAAATTCACTGCTATATTGCACCCTTTAAATCGAAACCCTGCAAATACAATTGCTTCACGATAGGATATAGGACAATTATTGAAGTAACTCATCTTTCTGCTTTATAACTAGTAATGATAGAATTATGTATCTAAACAGGAAAAGTATATTAACAGAATATTTATTTATTTTGTAATATTAAATGCCACTGTGTAATTGCATACAATTAATTTATTTGATGTATCATCGAATATATCGCTGCCCTTTTTTAAGCATTTCGAGTTTTTGGGTTCCATCCATCATTTTTTAATATTGCATGAAGGTTTATAAATAGCATCAGCGTTATGTTTGAAATTAATATAGAATAAATAGGTTTTAATCTAAATTTATCATCAGGTATGAAAAAAATTCGTCCAATTAGCTAAGGTTGGTTTGTACTCAATTTGTCGCTACTCTTATCAGATTTTTTTTTATTTGCAGCAGTGATAAAGGTATATTAGGTTAATGTAAATAAATTATGTTCTTGTTTTCAGTAAAAGTGATTTAAGAAACAGACAAGCTCAAATCAAAGAGGCCTCAAAGGCATCTTTCGTACGATAGAGGGATTCTTTATGGTACGAACCCATTAAAGGAAAATATTTTTCTATAAATTTAATGTGTCATTAGGCTATAAATAAACAGATAAAACTTCGAATCTACTCATGCAATAGAACATTATATTTCTTTAATTTTTTCATCATCGAGTGTCGTGATCATATAAGAATATCACTTCCATCATCACTGTTCTCCAAGCAATGGCAGTCTTTAGTTATAGAATATATTAGGATAAAAATCTCGTGAAATAAAATTTAAGTATGGCAATATATTTCGAGCCTTACGTACTAAATTAACAGAAATGTTGTGTTTAAATTCATTATCATCATCATATTAGCTACTATCCGTCTACTGCTGACCATAGGCCTTTTCCATAAGGGGGTTTTGCCAATTGTTGCCATGTTTTAAGATGGAAGCTGCTGCCCATTCTTCGACCATGAAGTTCCCTTAGTCGTCTCTTACGATAGCCACGGGAAAGGAAGGAGTGGCTTATTGTAAGCTGGAACCACAAGCCGGTACCAAACAGATATATTACATATATGTTCATAAAAATGAAACTACTTGATGCAATCAATGCGAAATAGTTTAATTTCAAATAAAAATATAACAAATCCTGATGAGTTAGTTTTCTATAAAAAATAACAGTATTAATTTTTTTAATTATATATTATTTACATAATTAAATAAAATATTTAATCCAATCAATAAACAGTTATATTGTTCTATTGCAAGTATAGTATATTATAAGTTTATATATTTTATAGGATATAGATGGGTATGAAAATGAATTAAGAAAAAATCACAAGGAAAGAAAATAAGAACACGCTGATGCGAAATAATAGACAACAAATTTTCTACGTATAAGTATGTTTTTACTGACTGATGCGGGAATCGTCATTAAGTAAAACTGGCAATTCTACCTTTGAAGAACTTAAAAGAAGTTAGTAACGTGGTTTTATTTTTAAAACTGTAGAATAAATAAAAATACTACACTGCAATGGATTAAAAAGCTGTGTACATTTTCCATCTCTTTCAATCATTCATACAAATCATTCACAGATATTAAAATTGCATTTGTAACTTTGTGTCTCTAAATATTTTGAGTTCAATATCGAATGAACAGTTATCGATTGGATTAAACAGAGACTAGATAGCAATTTGCAACTACTTAGGGACGTTATTGTAAAAAGGAAAAATACGTTTTCCTATTGGGGGAGACCTATATTTAGCAGATGGCTGATGATGATATTTGTAAAAAAAAAAAAAATGTATTTTATAGACAGTGAGTGAAATTAGAATTACTTCGATAAAATTTAAGGAATGTTCTACTAGTAAAATTAAATAAATCATTTCAAGCCCCCATACTAACTGACCAGTGAGTCTCGTATTAGTAAGAGAAGTCCAAGATTATTTGACGTTTTTTGGCTCATGTTTACTTGAGAGAAAACATTTAAATTTACCGATAGAACACTCTGTTAAAGGGATTAAGCATCCTTAATTTCTACTTCACCTATATCATCATCATCATCATCATCCATCGTGTACTGTTGAACATCATTCACCTGTATATACATTACGTTTATATAATTTATACATTATTATCTATTATGAGAATCTCAATTTTAAATGATTTATTTTTAAAACTATAATAACGCCCCCGTTTATTTATTACTTAATATAAATATCTATATAAATCTTCAATGAATAATGTTTACTATTATTCGTAGAATCGTCATCATAGGTACAATATTTAATTATAAACAATCATCAGGTAACTTTCTTCGATTTATTGTAATAATATTATGCGTTTATTACTAAGAACATGTTCAGAACTTTATAAAATTTACAATAAATATAATTCCTAATATTTACATCTTTTATATTACAATATACATCTACAATATAAGTTCTATTATAAAGCTTTATCTAAAGACAATAAATTCACTTCAGTTTTTAAACAAAATACCGAGAACCGAGTTCAATGTTGGTTAAAATAAAAAAAAAAAACCAATAAAATTGGTTCTTTGTTCATAATTGGCGAAGTTATCACAAATGTTTATAAACAATTAAGGTTAGTTAAGACTATATATTAAATGTTTTATATAAAAATCTCGTGTCAAGGTGTTTGTGGTCGAACTCCTTCGAAAGGGTCTGACCGATTTTTATTATAATACATTTTTTATGTATATTTGGTAGGTATGAAAATAGGTCGCAAAGTATATTTCATACTGCTAGGTGATTTGGGTGTCCCTATCGTTTAACCCTATAGCGTTTGCCGGGACAGCTAGTGCTTAATATAATTTTAGAAATAAAGTTTATGAGTTTATGAGTAATGAAACAAAAATCATTTTACTTTTAATTTCTCTGTTTTATGCTAACTTGCAAACAAAATAACTTGATAATATATTTATCAGGTTCAGTCATTTGACGCAGCATTTCACGTAAAGAAAAACAGGCTGTATGTAATAATTTTTAATAGTTTCTCAAGCTGAACATGAGTGAATATGTAGGTTAGAAATAACTAAAAAAAAAATCTTTCCCAAAGTGATTAAATTACTTTTTTAAACGCCATCTTGGATTGGTAGACTTCTTTAGAAGAAGTATACACAATTTAAATACGAAAATTCAATTTAAATTACAATACAGCTAGTTTCTAATAAATGTTAGAAATGTTACATTATATTATTCATAACTATGTACAAATGCTAAAACTGGTACTTTAATAATGTACATGAAGAAATAAATATCTAATGGTATGCTGGATCAAATCAAAATCCTTAGAATTCTTTTAAGGAAGTGTTCTGCAAGAGATACTCAACATTTTTCTAAAATGCTCATGAATTTTGAGCTTATTGTTTCCAGCCAGTAATAAGGGTGGGTAATATAAAGCAATATCTATATATTGTAGTTATAATATCTATACATATATTGGACCAATAACAGATATATTAACCCTTAAAAGCCTGATATTTTAAATCAAATTAAAAAATATATAAGTGTACCCTTTATTGTGTTTACTAATGGGGAAAAATAGTAAAAAAAAATTAAAACGATATTTTTATATATTTATTTTGAAAAAACATTTGGTAACATCTAAACAGCCAAATATTAAAATAAAATCGATTGTAGGCGCCCAATGCGATTTATAACCCCGGTATCAAATTTGAAGCTTCAGGTATTTAAGGGTTAAGTACTCGTTATTCAATATAAAATATCGAAAAGAAGAACCCGCTCGTAATGAATATAGATATCCGACTGGCATGGGCGATATCGCAATGGGTGGTCATCAATGTCCAGAAGAAATCAATATATAGATATCGGATATAACCCATTTATAGAAGGTTTTTTTTTTTTGTAATGTTTCATCACATTATTTTTTGGGGAAAAGTTTAGTTTTATTGGTAGAAAGAGTTTTATTACACCTGTATATTCCTATACATTTTAAAGAATAATATATCCTATACAAAACAGTTGTAAACGTCAAATTAACGAGTGTATCGTTTTAAGAAATGAAAGAAGTTCCTTAGTGTAATAAAAAAAAAAATAGATGAATATGTTATGTTATTATATACACTTACTCCTATACTACAATATGTACGTTGTAGCATCATGCGGATAACAACAGATATTCTGGCATTATTAAGCATTGTACAGAATAAGATTTTAGGACACAATATAGCTGTCATAATTGATTCTTTACTTTCTCAGAAAATGTTTTATTGAATAAGTTACAAATTAAAAGAGACCAATTCGTGATCCTTACTCATGAGCGATTGTGACGCGATCGTGAGCGCTGACTATATTAAAATATAATATCTGCTTAAGAATCTTCTAATAATAAAATTATTATGTTCTTGGAATTCCATTAATCTACTTTTTCTATTATCAATCTGTCTCTTACATGATGCTAAAACATGGGAAGTATAGATATTTACAAATATCACTGTACCATAGTATTTTAAAATTATTTAGAGTGAAAAGAGCTATCGAGCTGCATAAAAAAACTCTCAGTGCTACTGGCGTCTTTGACATCCACGTTGGTTTCCATATGTTTCACACCGTTCTCGTGTTCGCAGCACTTGGGGAAGGGCGCCATATTGTCCGTTTTGTATATGAAGCACTTGCTGTAGTTCTCCTGGGAACGTTCTTGGTTGTTGTTGGCCGGCAGCCGGCCGTGGCTCCTTCCTCAGAGTTTCGAGCCGTTGTTCAGAAGACGAATGCTGCTCTCTCGACCCACACTCGTTCTGGGAGGAAAAATGATTATGATAATCTTTAATGGAATAGAGGTGTTTTTTTTTTCATGGATGACAATGGAATGGCTGCGCCTGCGCTATCGGTATACGCTGACGATGCACCAGTAAAAGACAATATAACCAGTAAAAGACAATAGATGAGTATGAAAGCAGGTCAGTTTGGCTATCAGGACAAATTCATTAGCATTAACCACGATGGTTTCCAGGGGGAATCGAAGGAGATTGACCTGATAGGTCTAGCAATGGACTTTTTATAATCCATTACTAAGAATCCCTTTCCCATCAGTTATAGGTGTCTGTCAACTATTGCCATTGTGGTGAAAGTAACCAACACTCGATATGCTCACCCACTAATTTTAAATTCCAACGTAGTACTGAATAAACCCACCACCATCGGGGGGAAGGGGTTGTGGGATGCGCACGTCCAGTCCTATTGCTAGCAATATACGCTATCAGGTTGACCTCTACGTGGTTCCCCCTGTAAACCACCGTGCTGAATTCCAGGTGTGTTCATCACGATGGGTTAATTGACCTGCCTTTTCATTCTCAACTATCATCCCTCACTGGTGCCTCGCCAGCATATACCGTTAGCGCAGGCGGGATTACCATTCCACTATTATCCATTAAAAAAAACTCACCGCCATCACTCTTCGTAAGTACAAATTATGCTTTAATTGTAAGACTAACCGGCTTACTGCACGTAAGTCTTAAGTTTTAGTTGTGAATGCTCAGTTAGTTTCGTGACCATCCGGGACCTTTAATCATGAGCGGCTGTGACATTCTTAATTAAAATACACCTATGTTAATCCTGTTAGTCTTACGGATTAATTTGATTTGTCATCGGTGGATTCCCTCACTAAAGAGTTTGTGGAGAATTTAATTAAAATTGACACACAAAATTCTTGGTGTCGCGTCGGCCAAATTTGAACTTTATCTTCCTTATCACTTGCTAAGTGTGCCACTGGTTCAGAACACTCTTGTTTATGTATACAAATATTAATAAATATCTATATATCATAGATCTAGAAATCTCTAGATTCACATGGGGGGTATCATGGGCGAAACAGTATATTGTTATTTGACTTTCGTATATGACTTTCGTATATGTACTGCTCATGTCTATAGGCGACGGTTACCACTTTCCATCAGGTGGGCCGTCAGCTTGTTTGCCATTCTAAGTTGTATAAAAAAAACAAGCCCGTACAAATCTAACTTGTGTTTTAATTTGTCAGTGTGTGTCACGAATTAAAATTAATTGGAGTTGATTGTTTACTGTAAATATAAAGTGATTATATATTATCATACCAATCGTTAACTGTCCATTGTTGAACATAGGCCTCCCCCTTTTGATATTGGGGGGGGGGGGGTGACTAGATATATTATTATCATCATTAATTACCTTTACAAAATTTTCAAGAACATTTCAGCAAGTGTAGCAATAAGCAATGAATCATGACTTTAATTAATTCGATCAAATAATACACCGTACATTATGTAGTTAAAGTTCTTAGCCTGATCCAAAGTAATATTACAAAGAGGAATGATTAGATTTTATGTATGTAATGGATTTTAAAAAATAAACGCACATTTTTATTTTAGGTAAAATCTATAGAAAGTTACATTATTAGGAATCAGTATAGGCAATTTTTTTTACATAATCGTGTGAAACCTGGACAGTCTACTAGTTATTTTATGAATAGAATTTCCATTAAAGATTAATTGTTCCCTTAAAAAGTGTTTATATTCATCAAACGTATGGTACCGTAGCTTTCTTAGAACCAACCAATCTAACTTCCAAAATTTTAAGCTGCTTAATTATTTATACAATGTCTACCATCGAATCACTACCATCAAACGATGGTAGTGATTGCATTATTATATTATTTTATATATATATATATATATATATATATATATATATATATATATATATATATATATATATATATATATATATAATATATTCTTATTATATTAAATATAACTGTTCATCCATCTAAATAAACAAAAAAATATTTTTAGTTGTTTTTTAGTCCCTGATTGTGCATCTTGAACCTCTTGTATATCAATACTGTTTAAACATAAACATATCCGCTATGCGGTTTTGAAGCTTCCTCTCTGAACGGTATATTGTGGAATGAGGCTCTTGCAAATTAATTTTCTATAGAGTACAGCGATGGGTTCCTTCGAAAACATGCGAGTATCGCGAAAATTTGATAATATCGGAAATTTAATATGAATTAAATAATAAGTTCGTTGCGTTTCCTGTTTATTTTTACTCTTTTGTTAATGTAAAGGCTTAAGTACTGTTTTTTAGATGTACATAGTACATTAAATGCTTTCGCGTAATATTTATAGACGAGAAAAGTTTCGTATTACCACAGGTTTTTTAAAACAAATAAATAAAGCTTTCTCTTTTATGAAAATGATTTTCAAATTCCTATAAAAACTAACAAATAATCTTTAACATCATCTTTTGTTTAATGTTTCATTTTGTGTAAAGTCTTGTATTACAAAAGTATCTAAGTTCATTTCTTAATACTATAAACTATATGATGAGAATAAATATGGTATTTAAACCTTAGATTATGAAGTATATAGCCTGGAAGAGATCGCTTTTAGCGATAAGGTCGCCCATTGTTTTCTCATTGTGATTATTTCTTGTAATTGTTTATATCTAGAATAAGTTTACTATTGTAATCTTTCGGAGGAAACAATAAAGCAATACATTAATTTACACATTATATGCTCGAAGTTGATTTGGCCGAAGTATTAAGAAAATAAATTCTTATTATTTTTAAATTTTTATGTGTATTTCATTTAAATTTTGTAATTCATTGTTAGGTTTACTTTTTTCTATAATTTTGGCAAAGGGATAGTTTTGTCTGTTATTTCATTAACAAATAGTACACGGTACTTGTGATAGTTTGATGTTATTATGAGAAATAAATGAAGTTTAGGACTTGTTTACATTAATAACTTTTGCGGTTTCTTTAACAAAATTTCTTGCTGGCTGATTATTAAAATATTAGACAAGACAAAAGACTAATTATTGACGAGACAAAAGAAAATGATGAAGACAAAGGAGGCACTTTGTACAAAAAACAGTTCGTATTAAAACTTTGTAACCAGTTAATTGAATTTGATCATTTTACACAATAAAGTAGCTGACTTAGCTACTTCTATAATATCTATATATTTTGGATAGGACATATTTATAAATACTTTTACAGTAGTTTCTTATATTGTGATTTTACAATACAATAATTACTCATTTATTTTATTCTGTTGTTATTTCTAAATGGTTACATATATTAATTTTCCAGTTTCGCCAAAAAGTTCCGCAATGCCGAGTGTAAAGGGTTCGTTGTATACAACAATAAAATAGAACATAATGAATAAAGATATATTTTTTCTAGTACAATAATAGTGATATTTTAAAATGACGTTCTCTAATAACAAAATATCAATTGACAGAAAAAGAAAATAAAGAAATTCTATTTTTAAAAGTAAAAGAAATGAAATCTCAAAACCGATATAGATATAGAACATACGCCATAGAGTATAATTGTTTACTACGAAGCAATTATACTCTATGGCGGATCGAAGATATATATAATTGACACTATTTTTTTTTAATATTCTATAACTTAATTAACTTACGTCCTTGGCACCATGCTGATATTGGTTTTCCTGCTGGAATGCAGTCGCCTTGATGTGGATAAGGACAGAGAGCTTCTAGGCCCGTGCGAAGCGGTGCCTCGACAGAGCAGATACCTGATAAACAAAGCAATATTTTAATTCGAAAACAGGTCAAGTTTTTGTCAGCTAATTGTCAAATTAGCGGACTCGTTTTGCTTTGTTATTGTTCTATATACTTATGTATACCTGACGTGTCTATATTTAATTATTTAGTAAATAAATATAGTGTATTAAATTTATAAGAACAATATACAGAATTTATAAGACAAAATAATTATAGAAGTTATAAAAGAATCACTCATAACTATTTATCACGCAAAATTATACATTATGACAAAGTTGACCCGCTTTTCTCGAAGCATTTGCTCGAAGAATCTAAGGGTATAATATAATTAGTATACCTTTTTTATGTGAAAGGTCGACAAATAAGCATTCATTTCTAGCGATGCGAGCGATTCAACTAACGATATCAGGGGAGTCGCCAATGCGATGCCGACCTACTAAAAAGGTATTACAAAAGGTAAGGATTTTAAAAAGGTCTTTTAATAAGATATACCTGTTGAAATGCTTTCTAAATATACCACTGGTGCAGTATAAAGCTATGGGGTTGACACAGCTGTTCAAGAACGAGAGGCAGAAGCCTACGATACGGAGACCATGCCACCATCCGTTGTAGTCCAGTTCAGCCGTGGGACTGAAAATATAAATACTAAATATAATATATGTCTATTATATTTATTACTATTTATATATATTATTACTATTGCATATATGAGTATTGCCATAAGGAACTGGTCCTAAGGCACCCACATCCATTGACTCTCTTCAATGCATTTGAGGTCATCATATGGGATATGATTAAGAATAATAACATGAGCGATCTTAATAAGAGCAATAGGGGGGAAAGGGATTGTTAGCAATGGAGTTTGACAGGCCCATTGCTAGCAATATGCCCTATTAGGTCGACTTCCACGTGGTTCCCCCTGGAAACCATCGTGAACAATTCTTGTTGAATTCGTCACGTTGGGCTAACTGACCTACTTCATCCTCACCTATCATCCTTCACTGGTGCCCCGCCGGTGTATACCGATAGCGCAGGTGGGGTTACCATATCATTATCATCCATTAAAAAAAATAAGAGCAATAGAAACCAAAACAATGATTTAAAAAAAGTTGTCTGTTTGTCTGTATGTTTGTTTCGGCATTACATAAAAAAAAATGAATCAAATTGGATGCGGTTTTCGCAGTTATGTTACTGAAGGTCAACTTTGAAACACAACAGACTGCATGTTTTATTTTGATACGCCATCTAGTGGTAGTTGACTAGAACGTGGACTTTTTTTTTTGATGGGTGAAAATGGTATGGTAACTTCGCCTGCACTAACGGGATACGCTGGCGGAGCACCAGTGAAGGGTGATAGATGAGAATGAAAACAGGCCAGTTAGCCCATCATGATGAATTCGTCAGGAATTAACCATGATAGTTTCCAGGGAAAACCGCGAGGAGGTCGACCTGGTTGGGTATATTGCTAGCAATGGGATTTTTAGTCTCTTTTACTAACAATCCCTTTCCCCCCTAGAACGTGGACTCAGAAATCCACGTGTATAAAGTATGAATGAATTATAACTTTATTTGCTCGAATACCGGTTAATACATTAAAAATTTTTAATGTTAAGTAAAATACTCTTTATATTCAACCGTGTGGCGTGCAAATATTTTATTTGGAATTTGTTTTTAGAATTTTGCATTAAAGTAGTCTAAAAACAGTAGAAAAAAGCTAATGTATTATAGAAATTTTACCAGAAGGAGACTTTGTACAAAAGTCTTGGGTACCTCTGTCCCATTCGTGTTTCAACCGCGAAGCAGTTTGCATGGCTGTGTTTCGGTTTGAAGGGTGGGATATAGCGTGAATTTACTGGGTACAGAGGAATAACACCTGAGTCCTCAAGAATGGCAACGCATGGGGGGTATCATGGGCGAAACAGTATACTCTGTTATGTCTATGGTACTGCTTATATCTATAGGCGACGGTTACCACTTTTCATCAGGTGGGCCGTCAGCTTGTTTGCCACACTAAGTTGTATAAAAAAAAACGTTTATCGAATTAAACAGTGATGAAAGGGTTAAATAATAGCTATATGAATACAATGCGGCCTCTTTGAGTATATATTTCCTTATAATAAGAATGTATATATACTACTATAGGGGATCCTAAACATATATAATAAAGTTGTTGTTTATTTGTTTGCTGTTGTTATACCCGCATTTGCTCAGTTACTTATATATATATGTAAATGTACTCTTTGGTCGGTCAGTCGGTCATTTGGTGTGTTTGTGATCATTTGACAGCAAAAGGGTCAAAATTGTAGGCGCGTTAAAACAAGTAAATGAAAAATGAAAAAATGAAAAATATTCATTCCATAACAAAATTGATACAATACTAAGATCGTTGTTGTGACCTTCTAGTAAGTGTTAACACCTGTATCAGAAGGTCACGCTCCTCCATAACCATGCAAATTTAAATCATAGTACCATAAAATTAAGACATATAACATATAGTAGTGATAAGAATCCGATAATTATGTATGCATATTGAGATATTTTACTGTACTAGGTGTATTTTTTGCGAAAGTCCATATCGCTAGTTACTTGATTAGGAATTATTTTATTTTATCATTTATTTGCAAAACGTGTGTGGACTGAATAGCGGTCGGAGATTGATGGCTAATATGGAACTATTTATTACCAGATATTAAAAGTCGATCTTCGAGTGGTGGCTGTCGAACGCGTATTAATGTTAGCGGCATTAAATAAAATAATTCTAATCAACTAATTAATATGTTAAAATTTCGTATGTACAGCCTGAGGTCTTGGCATAGAATGGACTACCCCTTCTTTTTCCATGGGTGTCGTAAGAGGTGACTAAGGGAATTTAATAGTAAAGGGATGGGCAGCAGCATCCTTATTAAAACATCACTAAAAGTCTAGTGGTTGCCAACCCGCTTGCCAAGCGCGGCAACTACTGGCCCAACTCCCCTTCTGGGGAAGGCTTATGTTCAACAGCGGACGGTTAACAGCTGATATGATGATGTACTGTCTAAGAAAGAAGTCAAACGTTCAGTACAGATGTACTAACATACACATGTAAGTACCTTTTTTAATGGGTGAAAATGGAATGGTTACCACGCCTGCGCTATCGGTATACGCTGCCGTGGCACTAGTGAGAGGTGATAGATGAGGGTGAAAGCAGGTTAGCTCATTGTGAAAAATCCGTTAAAAATATCCACGATGGTTTCCAGGGGGAACCGCGTGTAGGTCGACCTGATAGGGTACATTGCTAGCAATGAAACTCTTAGATCCCATTACTAACAATCCTTTTCCTCCCATATGTAAGTATGAGTATGAGATGCGATGTTAGATTTATATTTTCCTACAATTTAGGCCATTTCAGACTTTGCCGCGTCTTTAGGAAGAAACGGGAGAGACACTCACTTATCTATTTATCTTGTCATTTATATAGATACTGGTCGTTTCCCGCGGCGTTGCCTGCTTCTAATTATGTCTGTCCCATTCGTGTTTCTTCCGTGAAGCAGTTGTGCTTGCATAGCTGTGTCTCGATTTGAAGGGTGGAATATAGCAGTAAAACAGGGTACAGAGGAATAACATCCGAGTCTTCAGGAATGGCAACACATGGAGGGTATCATGGGCGTAACAGTATACTCTGTTATGTTCATGGTACTGCTCGTGTCTATAGGCGATGATTACCACTTTCCATCAGATGGGTCGTCAGCTTGTTTGCCATTCTAAGTTGTATAAAAAAGTCCTCTAGTGAGTATACGTAAATAACCTGTCTATTCATCTTGCTCTAATATGTTCTTTTCTCTTTTATATTACATTAAGATATACTTTTAAGACAGGAAGAGACGCCTTTGATGCTCGGTTCTTTTTACTTATCCCTATTAGTCAAGCGTAATAGGGATAAATAAATAACTCTGTAATAGTAGTTGTACTTGATTCAACTCTGATATCAGACGAGATCAGAAATATTTGCTTATAAAAAGGTATATAATAACATATTAATGAGATGTACGTAAGTGGCTTAGGACTGTTTTTTCATGGTAGTCAATGGGGGAGGCTTTTGTTTCGTAGTTGGTACATAATGGCTGATATGATGATGATAATATTATTATCTGAATTGTATTAAATATAAAAATAAATAAATAAATTTATTTTTAATTTATACTGTATTGAACACACCAATAATACATAAAAACATGATGGAGGTAAGTACTTGTATCAAGGCGAGCTTAATTCTAAAAGAGTTCTCTGTCAGCAAACCAAAAGTGGAAAGGAGCATCAATGTTAGCAGATAGAGCGGTGTACAATATTGTGACAATTTTCAAACAAACAATGATTTAAACAACATGAGCCATGAGTATTTAGAATCATCTTTTCGTTATTAGTTGGTAAAAACAAATTTAATTTCATGATTCTTAATTTATAGAAATTCCTACGGCAAGCGTTAATATAGGCAATAATTTCTGAGTGTTAATTTATGTTTGTAAGCTAAAATTAATTTATGGTTCATTAAATTTAAATTAATAATTTCGGATAGATTAATCTTATTAGTATGAGTTAACATCGGGAGAGTCTGTGAGAATTTGTGAAATAATTAACGCGAAGGTTGAAATGTCAAGCAAAATTGTTTTGGGTGTACACAAGATGATTAAAGATTTCGTTTCACTAAAAAACGCTGACTTCTAAAGTCACAAAGTCAGTTAATTTATTTAAATTTTAAAGCACTGGACCGAATGTGATAAAGTTTCTATGGATCCTAAATATATTTACATAAAAAAATATTTTTCATAATCAGTTTGCAGATGACGAATTATGAGGCAACAAAAGAAAAAAAGTAATGCCTCTGAAGTGAGAAGTCACTTCTTTTTTTAAGTCTGTTGAAAATCGTGACTGAGCGCTTTATTACGTCGAGAATACGTTTTTCAAACATTAAAAAATACAACTACATGTTACATTTCAAATAAAAAAAAAATATATATGAAATCTATCTAACATGTTAAAAAAATACATTATAAATGAACTGTCTTTTAGGATACCTAATGATATTAATATTTTGGACAAAGCATTTAACAATTAATTACACAATATTAATATTGTTAATTACGTTCATACTTCTAGATGGTTGCATAGATTCATTTTCTAGTTTCGTAAATATAGGGACAGTGCCAATTCTTAAATAACGTAGGGCCAGGACTATCCTTAATCTCTACGGATTATTCACTCTGTGTGCCGAGACCTCAATTTTGTGGCTCAGCGGTCGCGTTCTGTGAGTCTGTCCGACTTTTAGTAGACAGTATCTACTTAATAGTTTATTCACAATGGAAAAGGCAAAGGTACAAAGACATACAGACTTATTTTCTGATTTTGTGGACACCAATATTATATTTATATTATTATAAATTACACACTATTCGACATATTTTCTTTAGATATAACATTTCCTATTCCTTTTTTGATATAGCCATATTAAATAGCTTTGAAGATTAGGTCCCAAGAGCCCGTATTTCTAATTAGGTGTACGTAAGTACATTATATTAAGTCTATGAATTAGGTTATGTTTTCTTTTCTAAAATATAGTTACATCAAATAATATTTTTTTACTTTAGAAACATAGATTATTTATCGAGAGATTATTGAAATGATGAAAATTATTAATACATGAATTTAGACGACTTGTAAACATATTTATTTTCATTATCGTATAATCAAGTTTATAGATAATATTTCACATTACATAGATTAAATTAAATCTCAAATGAAGATGGTCGAGATTTTTCAGTATTGCGATACTATAAATATTATAGGTAGGTATACTGTAAGATTTTATTATTGTTAAAAGTTTCGTAACTATATGTTATATTTTAATGTAATAATTACCGGTTAAACCTATATGTATTCGATCGAAAAAGCTTTTTTTTATGCAACATAGAATGGCAAACAAGCTGACCGCCCACCTGATGGAAAGTGGTAACCATCGTCTATAAAACATGAACAGTACCATGGACATAACAGTGTACTGTTTCGTCCATGATATCCCCTATGCATTACCATTCCTGAGGGCTAAGGTGTTATTCCTCTGTACCCTGTAAATTCACAGCCATATCCCATCCTTCAAATCGAGACACAGCCATGCGAACACAACTGCTTCACGGTAAAACACGAATGGCACAGAGGTATTCAAGCAAATGACTTTTGTATAAATTCTCCCCCTGGTAAAGCTCGACTAGTTTCGGAACGATTCGGAACGTTTATGACATTTTATGACACTGATGTTGATCGTGATTCAGGTTACGTGGGAATTTATTTGGAGATATTTATGACAAAAACGTATTACCTGGAACGGTCATTTCATATTGAAGTTTTCTGCATTTACTAGCTATTTCTATCGTTCGCAGTTATATAAAAAATGTTAGATTAAACCTAACTTAATATTTTTTAACCTTTAACCTAACCTAACCAGGTTTACCATTATAGTTTCATAGATAAAGGTTATGGGTACTAAGTTTGACTTTATCAACATCGCTATATCTGCCATTAATTGTCAACTGTTAAACGTAAGCCTTCACCATAAGGTATTTGCTAGTAGATGCCATGCTTGGCAGGCAGATTTGCAACCGCCGTTAGGCTTTGGTGAAGTTTTAAGAAGGACGTTCTTGCTTATCCCTCGATCATTTAGTTCTCTTAGTCACTTTTTACGACTTCCACGGGAAAGGAAGGGGTGGCCCATTCTATGCCGGGACCACACGGCACACCTAAATGGCGACGTCTATTGTTTGACTTACCAGTAATAAAACCACATCATGAAGACGTGTGACGGTAGAAAGCACGCTGCGAAGACGAGAACGAACGCTAGTACAGTTAGTGCGACCTTTCTTCTTGCCCTCATCTGAAATTATGAGAAAAACAATTGTCTATGAAGTTTGTTTTAATAGAATTGAAAAAAAAAAATTAATTAACAATCGATTACACCAACCTATTTTTTTATACAACTTAGAATAGCAAACAAGCTGACGGCCCACCTGATGGAAAGTGGTAACCGTCGCCTATAGACATGAGCAGTACCATGGACATAACAGAGTATACTGTTTCGCCCATGATACCCCCATGCGTTGCCATTCCTGAGGACTCAGGTGTTATTCCTCTGTACCCAGTAAATTCACGCCTTTACACAAATTTTCAATAAAATACAGCCCATATTACTTACAATTTTTTTGAGTTTATCCATTACAAGAAAAATCAAATGTTTTCTCTTTATATTATGAATTAAATTTAATAAACAAATTGTGGCACAGTACACTATTATTAATACACAAGTAAGGTTCACAGATAAAGCGAATTATTGATTCTATGGTTGTTTGCCTTGCCTCCCTATGTCTAACCAAGAAATCCCTATGGAATTAATTTAGTTATTATTCAATTTAAATTGGATTTGTTCTGACATCAGATGAATGTCTGTGAGAAGCTCGTGCCTTTTATTTTCTATGAACCTTCGGGAATGAGATCGCAACAATAGAACTCGATAGAGTACTAGTCTGAAAGGAATTCAGTGTTTGATTAGCAGATTTTATTTACAAATGTAATTTGCTAACTAAGTTGTATAAAAAAAAAAAGTGTTATTTTAACAGATGTCGAAAAGAATGAGTTTATTTCAATTTGTCTGAATTTTGATTGTTGACAATTCTGATGTGGATTTCTGAATTATTTTTATAATCGATAGGTTTCAACATTTTTACGTTCAAAACCGCTGGTTTTTTTGTAGAGAAAAAAAAGTTGCTGTGAAGCAAAATCGAGAAACTCATCCCGAGTTTATGATCCACCGTGATCTGAATTTAGATATTTTTTTGTAAACATCTACAAAATAATTAATAACAAATATTAATAAATAATAATTAGTATTTTTTTTGTAAGACATCTGCTAAACATCGATGCGTCTCTCTTTGTCTCTCTCTCTTATTCTGAAAGAGAGATCTCTCTGTGTACGTTACCTGTCTCTGGGTTCCTTGCATTTCCCCTGGCATATTCTGTGTGCTGAGTACCAGGTGCCTTGCCATCAGCACATAAAATAGTGCAATAACCGCCAGCGGCAAGGAGTAGTATACAAAGAATTTGATAAGCACCATTGTCCGAGGGTAGTTCTCTCCCCATTCATTTGGATATGGGTAGCATACGAGAAACTGAAAAGAAATCGAAGAAATGAATAATTAATTATGATATATAAATATTGTACTTTCTACAAAAGTCATATTATTCGTAGTTATGTCATCATAATCATAATCATGTTTCTGTCGCTTAGTAGTTTTCCTGCTATGGCTGTGTTTATGATAGAGTGCAGATTTTGTGAAGTTTGTTAAACATATCATCATAACTTGAACTATCCACTGTTCAACATAGGCCTCCTACTCGAGGAGTTTTGCCAGTAGTTGCCACGCTTGGCAGGTGGGTTAGCAACCGCAGTAAGGCTTTGTTGTGTGTGAGTATGTATATATATATATGTAATAATAACGCAGATAATGATCATTTGATTTGTGAACAAAATTCTTGAATTAAAAAAAATGGAATTTCGACAGTACTACGTGTGTAGCTAATATTTATTTCTGAGGGCAAAAGAATGTTAGTAATGCGGACTACCATTCCCATTTCTAGCAATATACCCTGTCAGGACGACCTCCACGTGGCCCTTCCTGGAAATCATAGTGCTGAATTCCAGATGTACTCATCACAATGGGCTAACTCACTTGCTTTTTCATTCTCACCTATCATCGCTCACTGGTGTCCCGCCAGCGTTTACCGTTAGCTCAGGCGGGGTTACTATTCTATTATCATCTTTTAAAAAAAATACTCACTTGTGTAGTAGGATTGACGACAAAAGTCCTCACGTAGGAGCCGACGTACGCCGGAGTGGCGAGCAACGCCGCTAAAATCCAAATTCCAATTGCTGTTGCAACAGTCAGCCGGGTGGCTCGTTTACTGCCGCCTAGAAAAAAAATTCATTACATATAATTCGCCATTTGTGCTGTGTTACATATATTATATGGTATAAAGAGTGAAGAAAAGAGATAAGAGTGGTGTAAATGCTTCCACTATTTTCATCATCACCATATCAGCCGTTAACTGTTCATTGGTGAACATAGACCTCCACCCATTGAGGGGTTTTGCAAGTAATTACCACGCTTGAAAGGCAATTGCAGTTAGGTTTTGGCAATGTTTTAAGAGCGAGAAGAGAGGCATATCCCTTAATCATTAAGTTTTTTTTTATACAACTTAGAATGGCAAACAAGCTGACGGTCCACCTCATGGAAAGTGGTAAAAGTCGCCTATATACATGAGCGGTACCATGGACATAACAGAGTATACTGTTTCGCCCATGATACTCCCCATGCGTTGCCATTCCTGAGGACTCAGGTGTTATTCCTCTGTACCCAGTAAATTCATATCCCACCCTTCAAACCGAAACACAGCCATGCAAACACAGCTGCTTCACGGTTGAAACACAAATAGGACAGAGGTACCCAAGCAATTTACTTTTGTACAAAGTCTCTCTCTGGTAAAAGTTCCCTTTGTCGCCTCTTACAATATGCCTGGAAAAGGAAGGGGCGACCCATTCTATGCCGGGACCACACGGCGAATGTTTAAATTGTAAAATGTTTTTATTAAGATCTCCAATTAAGGTTATTATGAAAATTTAATCAGCAGGCTGAGTTTTGTCGAATAGACCTCAAATAAGAAGAGGTAACGTCTATTTGAGGTAAGATCTGTTCGATTTGAGCCCAATTTGATTGCGTCAAAAGTCACATTAGATGGCATATTGATGCCTTACCTAAGGTCATATGCCGCCTACACGTTGTTTCATTACAATACTACTTTTTATCCGTAATATCGTATACGTGATATTCCTATCACATGAAAGATTTCGCTGACCAGGATAAATGTAGTCTATGTCTATCTCTATCTAATATAGTACATGTGTACTAAATTACGTAGTGGTAACTTAACATTTAAGAGCTAATAAAGAAGGAAACAAATTCACTTTCAAAATTATATGTAATATTGGGAAAGATCATTGTCTAGACTTAGTTATGATACTCAACAAAAGATTCTGTTCAGCTATTCTGAGAAGAATAAATATAGTTAACGAATTTCTATTTACTTAAACTGTCAAATGAGGGGGGAAAGGGATTGTTAGTAATGGAGACTGAGAATCCCGTTGCTAGCAATATACCCAACCAGGTCGACCTCCTCGCGGTTCCCCCTGGAAAATATCATGGTTAATTCCTGATGAATTCATCATGATGGGCTAACTGGCCTGTTTTCATTCTCATCTATCACCCTTCACTGGTGCTCCGTCAGCGTATCCTGTTAGCGCAGGCGGGGTAACCATACCATTTTCACCCATAAAAAAAAACTGTCAAATGAATTTATAATTCATCTGTCCTTTTTTGGTATATATTACGTAAAATATTTATCGACTTTGAATACCATTAGACTTTTTGAAATCTTTGAGATTTAATCTCCTTTTCCTTTTCATGATACAAAATACCTACATACTGTTAAAACTTTATAATATGTACTGGATTATATCGTACTATATTTTAGTGTATAGAATTATTATTAGATATAATAGAATTAAACCGTAGAAATGTTTATATTTGTTTGACATACTATGACGGACTTCGACGAAACTTGGCCTTGTAATCCTATCCTAGTTCAACATCGGATACTCTTATCTTGGCACAGTAACCTGACAGTTGGAAACGGATTATAAATTACAAACTATGCTTGCAAGACATTTTCAAAGGTTACATCAAAGATGTAGCCAAGTTTATGTTGAATATTATACGCCGTTAATGAAACAGTATTTGTAATCACGAGTACCTATTAACACGCTAATTAGCAAAGCAAATTTTGTTCTAATTTTATTTTATTTTATAACGATTCTAGACATGTCTGCGTTTGTTTTCGTTTACCATATAGAATATAAGTAAATAAATAGAAATTATGATTTATAATGATAATTTTTTTAGAGAATTAAGTTTTAAGAATAGAATATGGCTCAACTCCTTTTTATTTTTTATTTTTATTATAAAAATACTTGATCAAGAAAAGGTAAACCAAGAAAGGAAGGTAAAATTTGTTTGTGCATTTTACCAAAATTTATTGTGTAAAATTTATTCATTTAACCCTCTGTTCTTGGACATTTGAGTTAGATAAAAACCATCTTATAGGATCAAACCGTTTTGGTATCACGTCGCCGTTACTATTGTAGAAGACGTGAACACAATATGTAGACAAAATAAAAGACTTGAACGTGTTTGCACTAAAAATTCTGCGACGAACGGAACGTGACGGTCATATAGATCTCTCATCCCTATTGATTGACATTGCTCTTTATAGTCATCGTTTATCTTCGATTGCTTGCAATGATGATTTTGCTGATGTTTCCAACAGTTGCTTTTACCAAAAGTATTTCAGTATTTGTATCTGTTATAAAGTACCCTTTGTACAAACTTTCTTTAGCTTGAGATAAGATGGCGTTGTGCGATATATCAAAATTATTTTCGAAACAAAAACGTACGTATTTAACGTCAAGTTTATTTACTCGCAAAATATATTTTTTGGTATTACAATAATTATTAATTAATATACTCATCAATAGCCAAATGACAATAATAATTAAGAAGAATTATTATAATCCATTAAAACAATATTTAAGTACACGTATAGATAATATATTTTTATTAATATTGTAATTCAAGATTGGTGTTCCATAAAAAAACAGATCTCAAATATGGTAAATTCTTTTATTTTTATTTAAAAACTGAACTATTGCTAAAATTTCTTCTTTAATAATGAAAAATTCTTTTTTTATCTTTCAGAAATAAAATTTTTCAAATTGGTTTCCAACTGACGAAATTGTGAGGTAACAAACATTCGAAAACAATCGAAAAAAATAATAATATACGAATTGAGAATCTTCCTCTCTGTTTAAGTCAGATGACAAATGGTTGTTTGTTATGTCTTGGTGCTTCAATGCTACAATTAATTATTATGAATTTCGGTATCGTTTGTTTGGGGAGCAAGATTTTTTTATATTTTTGCCTATTTATACTTAAATAGCCTCTGAGAAACGTGTATATCAAATTTTTGAACATTTACTTTGTTTCTTATAAAAATAGTTATGGCAAACAAACAATTGACGAAATTAGTTCCATTACTCTTTCCTATAATAACTCTATATTGGTATTAGAATAATAAAATTTTAGGACCCATAACAATCAATATAACCGCATCTTATGATCGATGCCAAACCGTTAAAAGCTTTATAACTTAGAATGTTGGATGCCATTCGCATAAATCAAATATCGAAATGTTTATGCGGATGGTAAACATAATAAATTTGTTTATCCAATATCGAATATGCACAATTCTATTTACTTATGTATCTGCAAGTATTTATCTGTCTATAATATCGTCTAGATCTTCACCAGAGGGAGACTTTGTACGAAAGGCGATTGCTTGGGTACCTCTGTTCCATTCGTTTCTACCATGAAGCAGTTGTGTTTGCATGGCTGTGTTTCGGTTTGAAGGGTGGGATATGGCGTGAATTTACAGGGTAAAGAGGAATAACACCTGAGTCTTCAGGAATGGCAACGCATGGGGGGTATCATGGGCGAAACAGTATACTCTGTTATGTCCATGGTACTGCTCACGTCTATAGGCGACGGTTACCACTTTCCATCAGGTGGGCCGTCAGCTTGTTTGCCATTGTAAGTTGTATAAAAAAAGTATTAACTATATGTTATTTTTAATTTTTTTTTGTTTATTTAAACTTTAATGAACGGTGAAACTCTATGTACATATGGCGGACTTAACACTGGACGGTGTTCTCTACCAGTCAACTGTTGGGCAAACCGAGAAATAAGTTTTTTTTTGTAAGTAGTCGGTGCATTATTAAATGGAGAAAATATAAAAAGTAATACTTAATATATTCGTACATTATAATATACACATTCATAAAATTATAATTCATATAATAATATTCGTATATGTGTCGTATCGTATATGTGCATATTCGTAGAATATTTTATATTAAGTCTATATTTTTAATATGTAATGAGATATATGTATATACTTTCATATTAATAATATTAGTGAGGTTAACAATATTAAAAAAAAATGTAGTAAGACCGCAAATGGCTACTCGTGGAAAATTGTATATCATTAAAAATTCTTAAAAAAGGTGCCAAGTCACTCTTTAACCGTAAAAGCTGTGGGATTTAATGTAATGCCAATATAGAATTCTATCTATCACTGCAAAGGTGTCAACAGAATCCCAAATTGGCACTACATGAGATTTAACGATGTATCCCATTGAGATATGTAAATTCTGCGGCTTCGTCTACACTGTACCCGATGTATCCCGTGGGTATTTCCAATAAAACTTTCTTAAGAGATGTTAAAGTCACATATGGAGTCAATATGTAAAGTTTAAAGTTTCACCTACTACTGTCTTTGATGTTTAAAGATCACTCAACATATTTTGTACTAATTTTATAAAGAAGGAGAGTTTATCTATATTTTCTGTATTTTGCTCTCTACTCTCTAATATCGCAAGCAAGTCTATGAATTGAAATGAGACATCAAGCCTATGAATTGAAATGAGATATAGGACGTTGCTATCTCATTCTATCTCAAGGACTTGGCACTTTGAGAGCATGAAGCATGAAGCTGTCCATAAACAAACCAAGACAAACATCAAGATGGTAGATCGAACACCGAAACTATAGCTATCCAGACTGTTTAACTTTGATATAGTTGATGATTTTGTCTAACTTGGGTTATCAATACTGGATCATTTGAACTAGAAGTTCGCTGATGTATTGGTATAGCCAAGTGTGCTGTAATTCCACCTGCAAAGAATTTAGAAGAACAGAAACTCTTTCAAAGAACTAAATTGCACCTTATTCATATGCTCGT